CATGATTGACTAAAACGTAAACCATTTGTATTATCTAATTCACATATTGTTAAATAACCATGATGATCACTAACAACAACATAATTATTTGTTAGATGTAACCATGATTGTGCTAATGCTATAGTTTGATCATTTGTAACATTTTCACATATAATAGGTTTAGTTAAATCATTTAATGAATATAAAGATAATTGTCCAAGTGCAGTAACTGTTGAAAGAAATGTTGAATCCGATGAACATTGTATCCATTTTAAATCAAGTATTCCATCTGTTGTTTGATGTTGTATAGTATCAATGGTTTTTGTTGTTGAATTATATTGAAATAAATATATTGAACCTGCTCTTGTCGTCGTTTCTGGATTATATAAATATGTACCACAAGCAAATATATCTTGACGTACAGGACACCATTCAATACTATCTGGTGGACAATCAGTTAGAAAATTAGCTTGAAGCATTTCTAGAAACAAAAAAGAAACAGGTAGGTTTGATTTATTTCAAATGTATATAATAACTCGTATGATAATACGGAAGGTCAATTTTCAAAAAAATCAAATTGTTCTAATCAGTAATAAATATCTCTAGTAACACTAGAATTATTTTATATCAAATTTTATTTGTTTCAATCGTCACGTATACAGTTCAATGAACAATATATTAATCTTTTGATATTGTCTAAAACGCCGAATATAAAAGCGATTAACAATAAGAAGATCTTATTCTATAAATAAAAGTTTAGTAAAATTCGAAAACAAATAATTAAACGTTAGATTTTTTCTTTCGAATACATTATCATTTATTTTAAGGAACGAGATAAATAACCATTTACAAAAGCAGAAGGCGCAGTTGGTACGAGTATTCATAATTGAGTGCAAACTAAATTTCCATAAGATAGCACTAATAATCATCTATGATAGTTATTAACATACACTTAACAAGTAGAAATAAATCATTTTTAATTATATTAATTGCTTGTGAAATTGAAGAATAAGTACTTTTATGTGTTATTCATTATTTTACGAAACGAAAAATATTTAAAATCGTTTAAATATTTCCCATTGGTTATTCTTATTTACCAATGAAATCAAAATATAGGAATGCGTGTACGGATAGATCATCGCGCTTATCTTATACCATTTATGCTCTATTAAACTGCATAACAAAAATCATTCGCATAGTCACAGCTACTCATACAAAAAAAAGCATCAGTATTTTATTCGTGTTCTGTATTTACGAATATATATACATAACGTTATGATTTAAATACAATGTTTTTCTTGTATGGTCGAGCGAGCGCATACGATAGAACGAAAAACGAATTACTTCAAACGTTTCTTTCCTTTCAGTACAAAAACAAATTTATCTTTTAGATAATAATGCTTTGGTATAGGATACTTTTTATAATAGCGAATTTTTTAACCTTGGTATCTTCATTATCAATTGAATCATTATATCTTGATTTAATTCATCGAAATCTTAGTGATTATACATCATTAAATAATTTTTATAGAAGTATTTTACAAGATGTAAGACATCATCGATTAATTGATACTGTTCAATCACCGATTAATGTATCAAGAATTAAATCGGGTAATTATGATGAAGAATATTTAAAACATTCGGTAAGGAATATCTTATATAAATAAATTATCAAATTTAGTTTTTAGTGTTATGAATCAGCATCTGATTTACTTTCTGCTCATGGTTATTATAATAAAACAGATATAAAATTAAATAGAGAAGATATTAAAGCACTTCTTCCAGCTATTTTATATAGTATTGAAAATCCAGGTTGTGCACGTAAATCAATTTCAACTACACCATATTCACTTTTTAATTGTAAGATCTAGCTGATTATTTGAGAGAAAGAGAGAATATTTTTTCGAAAATTTTAGTATGGATATTTGGTGTTATAATTATTATCTGTATAAAAGCAGTTCATCTATTAATATTTTCGATTAGTGGTGATCATTGTTCATCGTTAACATCAAGTAATATTTCAAAAGCTACAACAACAACAGATCAAAATGATATTCCGCAAATTCCGGTCGTAAATATCCGTCCACCATCAGTGAAATATCGTCTTTGGTTAGGTCTTGGTTTAAATTCATTTACATGTGGTCTTATGCTTGGAACAATTATCTATCATTTAATTCCTCATGTATGAAAAATAAATTAATTTAATTATGAATGAAACATTATTTTATAATTTAGATCTATGAAGTACCTAATGAAAGTTTTGATTATGTTTATCTTCTTCGTGCTACTGTTGTTTTCTTTGGTATTTATTTGTTTTTTATTGTCGAAAAACTTCTTCGATTTCGATTTAAAATTGATGAAGTATGTTATGATTTTAGTTATTCCATATCAGAATCTTATTTTGTTCACAGGTTCCATCAAATGAAACAGATAATGATGGAGAAGAATTAAGAAAATTATCCGATACATCAATGATGCAAATGGCAAGAATGCATGGTACAATACATGCTACTGAAGATGTAAATATTCATTATTATTTTACTTATATTAATTCTCTTTTGTAGGCTGAACATCCTCTTAATCATTCAAATCCTCCAGCAAGAATCCCGGTAAATAAAGATAATTCTTAAGTTTTATTTTAATCTTTATTTTAGTTACATGCTGAAAGTGATGATGAGATAGATTTACAAATAAATCAAGTTCCTATTAATAATAATCAACAAAATTTAGTACATGAACATAATCATAAACATGATTTACCTCATCAAACACGTAATCTCATACTATATCATGTTATCAATGATTTTTCTAATGATCTTATCTATGGTTGTGGTTTAGCAACAGCTTTAGCACATGATTATCTTATTGGTTCTGTTTTGAGTCTTGTAATTTTTAGCGAAGGATTTCGACGTTATTCACGTAAAGAAGAAAAAACAAATTTTTTTTCATAAAAATAAAAATATTCTTATTTAGAAACTATTTCATCTATGGGTCGTCAACGTGGTCTTTTTCTTTTATTGGTATCCATTTTTTTTCTTCTATTTGGTTATGTAATTGGTGGATTTTTAATCGAGGCTGGTCGACAATCTAAAGATAGTCTATGGTATATTCGTACTGAATATATTTATTCAATTGTCTATGGTGCACTTTTTTATACAGCACTTGTAACCTTGGTAAGTTGTAGACAGCAATATTATTTTATCAATTAAAAATCCACTCATACTGAGACGTTCGATTTTTCAAAAAAAGCCCTTACTGACAAATTATAACTCTTACCAGTTAGTTGAAAAAATATCCTTCGAGAAAATGTATACGGGTGTTCAAGACATTTATTTTGATAAAGCGTTTTTTTTTCTTTCTTTCTTTCTTTCTTGCGTTCTGTAGGTTAAGATGACGTGCATAATTAATAGTAATTTTTCTTTTTTTTTTGAAGATTCCTGAATTGAATGACTTTGGTCATCATTTACAAATCAATCTTAAACAAGTCAATCAAACAACAAAACAACGTCGTTTAATAAAAACACTTATACTTATATGTCAAAATCTTTTTCTTATTATCGGTGTTATTATTGCTTTAGTATTAGCATCAATGTGGCGTTATTATCATCGTATACATATCTATGATTATGTTTGTAATCGTGATTCATTTCGAGTATTTTGCCATCGGCATTAACATTCTGAAGAAGAAAAAAGAAAAGAGGAATCTCTTCTAGTTTTATTTTCGTGATAAAATTAAATTTTTTGCATTTTAATTGTGCATTAGCGGTTGAATTTGATTATTTGTGTTCCTTTTTTTTCCGTCGAAATTTGTCATAATTGCATTTTTATTGTAGTTCAGTAATGATTCTTTCTCTTTGTTTTTTAGATGAAGATTTATTATCTAGTCATCATTATCATATTAATTGATTCATCTTTAGTATTAGCAATTAATATTGATTTAAATAATTTTGAAGGAAATAATCTTTATTCACATATTAATACACAAAATAATTTGGAATTATTCTATCAAAAACTTCTTCAATCAAATAATATAGATGATCTGAAATTTATACGAAATCCTATTAATGAAAATGATATTCAAGATCTGAATATAGAGCATAAAGTAAATCATCACTAAATAATTTTCTGCGAAAAAAAAATATTGTGTACTGATCAAAAAATGATCATTATTGTCTGCTTTCATAATCTCAATTGTTATATATTTCGAGAAATGTTATAACTATGCAGCAATGATGAATTTAGAAGGTTTTATTCGAATACGTTAGAAAGAGAACAGAGATGGGACCGGTTTGGTTTCGAGTTTTTGAAAAAGTAGAGCGGTTCGGTTTGACGTTTTCAATATTTAGCTATATAGTGTGTACAAAGAAGATAATTTGATGTAAGTGACAAATATTTGGAAGATTTCCGTGACTAGACATCAGTTTGAAGCTGCTTAAATATTACTCGATTCGGTTCGGTTCGATACGGTTCGGTAAAAAAACGAACCGATCCCATATCTGAAAGAGAACAAATAGTATTTAACAGATAATATCTATCCGTACAAAAAAAGTTATATTTGACAGACAAAAAGAAATTTGTCATAATATAGTTTCATTATTTCGGAAGTCTAACTTAGTATATGATGAAAGATTATTTTCATAGCACATAAGATTAACTTGTACGATGATATCGTACGCAATAAAGAGCTTTATGTTTGTTTAGAATGAACTATTCGAAAAATTTCGATACTGGTAGAATATTTCAATGTCTACTGTAACGTTTAACATGTAAAGAGATCTTATTGAATGTAAACACAAAATAAAGAATTCGAGCCACTTTGATAAAAGATGAGATTTACCAGTGTATTATGATAATTATCACAGATTTCAATTTGTTCGAAGAGGAAATTCATAGTACTATGTCATTGAATGTATCGTTATTCAAAATCATTCGAGCTTGAAAATAGTTCATCTAGAAGTTCTAATTTATGTAAAACAAAACAATCTACTTTTAATAATTACCCTTTATTTAAAAAGCTAAATATTCTTTTGTATATATTTAGTGTTTTAAATCAATTAATGATCTGCTTAATGCCTTCAATATTCATCCAACTACTCCTAATGATAGTCTAACTCCTGTTGATGTTCAACGATTATTACCTGTATTAGTTAATGTTAAATTAAATGATGGCTGTACTAAATCAGAAGGACATGCAACATGGAAAAGTATATTATATGGTTACTTGAATTTTTCTTAATATTGATATTTCAGATATTTTAATTGGATTTTTAACTGTTACTTTTATAAATTGCTCAGCATTAGGTGGTGCTATCATTTTACCATTTCGAAATAAGCCCGCATTTAAATGGATTCTCAGCGTTTTTATTGGTTTAGGTAAGTAATAAAAAACATGTGAGTTGATTAAAATATTCTTATAATTTATCTAGCCGTAGGCACATTAACAGGATCTGGTATATTTCATTTGATTCCTATGGTTAGTTCATTAAATAATATCTATATTCTTTATTGAATAAAATTCTTCTTTTCTGTTTATCAAGGCGTTTGATATTCCAAGCCTAGATACTTATCATAGTTATCTCAATAAAGCTCTAGTAACAATGATTACAATCTATTTATTCTATATACGTGATCAACTTTCAAGAATATTTCTAAATATTGAAACAGTATGTATTCATTCATGTTTATTATTTTATCATATTCATATATATACATTTAGATTGTATGTACACATAGTCATGGTGATGATCAAAGTTCTGTAAGTTCGGAAAATTATTTTTTCAATTAAAAATATTCTGTTTTTAATTATAGATAGCAGCAAGTGGTTTAATTGATTCTATTTCTTCAACTGATCGAAAATTATCTTCAAGAAATTCTAAAGTATTTCAATTATTCAGAAAAAAAAAAGTTCTTTATTTTTTTTCTTTGATTTTTTAGTTAATCTTTGAAAATAAACATCTAAATAGTTTAGTACAAAATTTAAAAGCAATGAAAGCAGCTGGATGGATGATTTTTCTTGGAGATATGTTACATAATTTTATTGATGGTTTAACATTAGGTGCTGCTTTTATGGTATCTATTGGTGAAGGACTTCGAATGTCTCTACCGATTATATGTGAAGAATTTCCACATGAACTTGGTGATATTGCTGTTTTGCTTAGTAGTGGATTAAGTATTGGACAAGCATTAGTAGTCAATTTTTTAGCTGCTTGTAGTTGTTATCTTGGATTTTTTATTGGTGCAAAATTAGGTTTGTTATTAAGATTTTTAGTTAGTTTTTAACAAAGAGATACCTGACCGGAGTACAAGAAGACAACAACAGAAATATCAGCCGTGAAAGTCCTATAGAATCTGGTAAAATTTCATGAAGTATTTTGAAATTTATCATTTTCCTTTTTGCTTACATAAATCTTGAAGCCTGCTGTACTCCCTTTGAGTAACTCGAAAATCACGAAGATCAATATCATTATCTTCTATATTATTTTTATTAAATATTTTAGGAGAATTAGAAGAATTTCATGGGTGGATATATGCTCTAGCTGGTGGAATGTTTGTTTACATTGGACTAGCAGATATGGTAAATTAATCATCGATTGATTTCTATTGAAAACTAACTGGTTTCATTTCATATAGATTCCCGAGCTTGTTTCAATGGGTGATGAAGTAGAAAAAGATTTTATGAATTCACAAAAACCAATAACCATTTATTTAAAACTTAAAATATTATTTTATCAAAACAGTGGTGTTATTCTTGGTATTGCTATTATGTTTTTATTAGCAAAATATGGTACACATCTAGAAAATCTAGTTCAATTATAGAATGAAGAAAAGAGAATGTTTGATTTATAGAATATTATTTCCGATTATTTATCAGGGAGAATGATTTTTGGTTTTGAATGCACGAAAATTAAATAATAATAAAAGAAATCATGATTCATACTATCCAACTAGAATGTTTACAAATGCACGATGTTATGAACAATGAAAACGAACTTTTTATTTTCAGGACAAAACTTTCATGACACTGAAGTACAAAATAAATGATCTTGTAATAACAAGAAGTTGTATTGATGTAGTTCTATGATATGAAAACATATTTTTTCTATCAATCAGCATAGTTTAATTGTTTTATTGACATTACACAGATTTTTGACAATAAATGTGTCCATGTAGAAAGACTTGGTTATATCAATCATACTAATGGGAATACTATTTATCAAAGCTAAACACATGTCCTCAAAGGTTTACTATAATTCATCAATAAGAAGAATTTCGATAGATTTGAGAAAAGTACAAAACAAAAATTCCGGTATTAATAATTGAAATTTGGTCGAAACGTGAAAATATGGATAAAGGGCAAGGGAAAATACATTCTTCTAGCATACATGATTAGTCTCACGATTTCAGGAATGTTACTGTAAATACCCATGTAAAAAAAAGTAAACAAAGTTCATTTATAAGTAATTTTTCATGTTAATTAAGTAAAATAAAGTGACGTTTTTTAGTCTTTTTCAATTTTGCACAGTACTTTAGATTACTTTTTCCACCTACCGAAGTATTTAATCATACTTCTGCTAGCTTCAAAGTATGGTTTATTACTTTTTTGGACTTCCTTAAGTATTTAATAGTCACTTTTATGGGTGAAATTTTTTACATGGGTGCAATCGTGTTTTTCTTACTAAAAAATAGATAGTTGTCATATTCAAATATAATGCACTATCAAAAAAGAACTTTTTCTCTCGAGCGAGATTAATAGTTACTATGGTAAAAACCCCTATATAACAAGTGAGGATCATAAAACTCCGATATCTTTTGAAAGAATGTTGTATCAATAAATACAACTTATTTGATATAAATCTTCAAAAATTATACAAGATTGTGTGGGGAAAATGATTATTTAATACAATTTTTCATCTTTTTAATTAATCTAATTTGTATTGTCTAATAAAATTAACTAAATTACATACGATTGATTGTCATATAGCGCTACCTATCAAATTTGACTTTCACCTATAACCAATCATAATGAATACGTCACAGAACAAAGCAGCTCTTTTGCACAGTATAACTTTGTTTTAAACATAAAATTTCAATTCAGTGTTTTACAAAAAATATGGCATCATCATCTGGTACAGTACCTGATGTATTACCATCGCAAATCTTAAGTGTTAGTCCGAGTTTACCTACGAATAAATTACTTGATAATTTAACAGTAAATATTTTATTTTCTCGAAAATATTTTCCATTAAATATATTTAGAAAAATCAAAGACTGTTACAATTATTACCACAAAATTATGAGAAACGTCAATTATTCACTAATTTTTATAAGACTTTATTGGATGATTTCTTCTATTCACATGAACGTCCTGATGTACAATTATATGCTGCTATTTGTTTAGCAGATGTTATTCGTGTTTGGGCACCGAATTTACCTGATGCACCACCTGAAAAATTACTGGTAAATTGAATTATTGCTTTCCAATTAATCATATTTTCATCTTTTTTTTAAAGAATATGTTTATGTTTCTTGCGCGTCAATTACTTGGTTTAAAAAATATTGATGATCGACTATTTAGTCGACGGTATTATTTACTTGAAGTAAAAAACAATTGATCTTATTTCAAAGAAATAATTAAATATTCTTCTAGAATTTAAGTATGGTACAATCATTCATCCCAGCTGTTAATCTCGAAGATAATCGTGGGTGTCAAATAAGTACTGTCGTACTTAATAATCTATTTAATGCTGTACAGTATGTATTTAAAAATATATTTTAAAAAATGAATACAATTTCTTTGTTTTCTAATAGAAAAAAACATACAGATCAATTAAAAAATTTAATGATTGAAATTATTACAGTTATTTTGGCTGAATATGAATCAGTTCCATTTGCATTATTAGAATTATTATTTGCAAGAATCATTGATCCAGAAAAAGTAATGTTAATTATCTATTGATGATATTAAGTGTATAGATGCGGCCTGAGTAGAGATGTGCATTGAACCAAAAAATGTTTTTTAGTCCCGGTCAAAGATTTGCTTGCTATTTCATCAATTTTATTGTTCAACTACGCATTTTGTAGAGAAATGTTTGCTCTTTCTGCCTGTATGTTTGAAAATATTCCACAGACTGTCGTTATTAAATAATTTAGGAAATATAATGACCGGTCCCGGTCGATCTTGACGCCATTTTCTCCGTCTATGATAATCACTCAGTGTTCGCGATAGTCTTATTTTGTAGAGAAAACATTTTTCTACAAAACGTATTATTCGAAACTTTATTACGCTTTTAGACAACAGAGATATATCCAATTCTATTACCGGGACTAGAATTGACCATGCTCAACTTTAGGCCTGAGAGTCCAAATTCTATTCATGATGTATTATTATTATCTTTTTAGAAATTACGTGAAGAATGTTATGAACTAGTCGAATCAATAATTCGTCGCGGTGAACCATATTTAAAATCATCTATAGCTGATGTAAGAATTCTAATAATTTGTATTCTTATTTTCTTTTGTTTCTGTTTTGAAGTATTTCAAAGCTGTTTTGATTACTGAAGATACTGATTCATTACAATTACATACAAAAATTTATTATGTATTTGATGAATTATGTCATATTTCTGAAGCTATCGTTGATGAACTTATTCCAACAATTGAACATCGATTAACTGTAAAATAAAAGTTTTTTTAGTAGATAATAGTTATTGAACAAAAAATTCATTTAGGTATCAAATGAAAAACATCGTCGTGATGCAGCAAAAATTATAGCATACGTAACAAGTTCGCCAAATAATGATTTTGCACAACGACATAAAACTTTATGGAGTACATTTCTTGATCAGTATGTTTACAATGATTTTATTTGATAATTAAATTATATATTTGTTTAGATTTAAAAATGGTACAACTGAAGTACAATCAACTTGTATTAAACATCTTAAAAGTTATTTTGTTAATCATCCAGAATTACGAGGAGATCTTGAAGGTTAAATTTGATTTTGTAATCTTGATGATTTAATAATATTTCTTCTTTCATATTCTTAGATGTCATGATTCGATTAAGTCTTTCAAGTGATACAAATATTCGTTCACAACTTATGGCACAAATACGTGCTATAACTAGTTCAAATCTATTGGATATTAGTGATAAAATCAAACAAATTTTATGTGAACGTGCACGAGATAAAATTGTATGTTTAAGTTTTATAATTAATCAATATTTATACTTTTTTTTGTCTAGTGGGAAGTTCGAAAAGAAGCATTAGATTATCTTGGACATGTTTATAAGAAAGAATGTCATAGTACTAATTGGTCAAATGATACACAAAAACAATTAACTTGGGTTGCAAATTGTATTATTCATTTGTATTATCAAAAAACTACACAAGACAAGTGAGAATATTTGTGAATCATTTCGATTTATATTGTTTTTTTCTGATAAATTTTAGATTATTAGCTGAACGACTCTTAACATTTTATTTAATGCCATGGGATGTGAATACCGATGATAAAGTGAGAGTTTTGCTGACATTGTATTCAAATGTGGATGAAAATGCACAACGGTAATTTGATTATTTTATCCGCGCATATTTTCCAGTGTACAAGATGTCTAGTTAAGAATATTCTAATCATCACATGATATTTTCCTTCAAAGACAAATAATACAGCTCGTATATTAACTTACTTTTTTTTCTCCTTTTAGTGCAATTCGTGAAATGATGCATAGTAAATTTTTGTAAGTATTTTATTAACTTGTGATTAGATAGTTTCGAACATTTTGTTTTCAATCAAAATAGATTTCGTCGACAATTAGTTAAACTAATTGATTTTTGCTTACAAATGACTGATCCAAATATACCTAATGATGAAAAACAATTAATAGAATTAAAACTTGTTAGTCTTATTCATGTTATTGCCTTACGTAAGATAAAATTTTTATTTTAAAATAATTCTACTGGAATCTCTATTTTATTTAAGGCTGTTTACCAAATCCAGATAAAAATGAATCTGTTCTTAAATCATTTGCTGTCTACGCAATAAAAAATCATAAACAATCATTAGCAAATACGAATGAATCAAGTATATTATTAATATTCAAACAAGCTATATCTGATGGAATTAAATCAAAAGAAGCTTATGCATTAGCTGTGCGTACTTAAAAAGTTTGAATGAATTTGTTTTTATTAAAGATTCATTTCTATTTAGAATGGTATAGGACAAATGTTGTTAGAAGAAGCAACAAAAGAACAAAAACGTTTTCCTGCTAATACAACTGAAGACCAAACAATAACAACAACAACAACGACGATACCAATTATTGAAAATAATGGTCATGGACAATATACAAAAATGTGTGGATTAATAAAAACAATGTTTGAAAAAATATCTACACTTTTATTTGATCAAGAAACAGTTAGTAAATTACTTAAATTCATATTCGAAAAAGTTTCAAATGGTAAAAAAAGATTTACTTTTTTCTCTTTTTCTACGATATTTAATTTATTTAGAACCTGAACAATCAGCATCATATTATGAAAATATCAATCAGTTATTAAAGGTTTGTATGATATTGCTAACATTTCGTTCGGACATCAACACCTTCAGATTAATGACCTTTCTTCTTACTAAAACTCTATTTCTTAGGTATTTATTCAACATCCATTTATTTTCAATTCTCCTGAATCACTCGAACTTCTATGTAATTTATTAAAACAACGTGTACTTGAATTAGGTTTGTACATTTCACTCATTTCTGTTTTTAAAACTAATTTGTTTTTTTTTGTTCGTATTATTAGCACCTATACTTATTCGTACAATCGAAGCTTGTGCACCATTAATTATCTCGTTAAATAAAAATAGTATGATGACGTATGTATTATATAAAATCTTTTTTTTTTGTAAAAAATATCATATTTTTAGTCTTCTTGATACTGAACTTTCAACTTATTTAACACTTCATCCTCCTATTGCAAAACGTGCACTCTATTGTATATGTGCACTTCATCCGAATACAAAAGATGAACTTTTACAAAAAATGATTGAAGTAAAAAGGAATTTTTCTTTTTTTTTTTTCTATTATATAATTATATCTTATTAGGATACACAATATGATCAATTTGATAGTGAACAATTTATAACACGTCTTGTTTTACTTGGACATATGATACAAATATCTCCAATCACACTTGAAGATATTGGTAAAAGAATACTTAGTAATATATCAAAATATATTGTGGATAGAAATCAAACAAATGATGATGATGAAGATAATATGAGTACATCATTTTTTCACGGACATTTTACATTATTACATGATGAACCTCATGCCGATCCAGAAATCGGAGCAGATGCTCGTGTAAAAGTAATTATAATAATCTAGTAGTGAATTTTTCTCTTATCGAATTCTTCTCTATTTTTATAATAGCGTGAATTAGTTAAAGCAATGACACGAGCAATATTAGGTTTACGAGAAAATTCATCTGGTTTATTTAATATTGTTTATAAATTAATTCGAAAATGTATTGAAAATGATCAAGATTTTACAAATGAAATGAGGTAAATATATTATACAATTCTGTAGATTTCTTATGTTAGAAAATTGAAGTTTTGTTAGCTTATCGAATGATCTGTTCATTTGAGAAAGTACAAAGGAGAAAATGCGGGCACCTGAAAGTGATAGTGGGTGATGTCGACACCTGATCCGCGGGTGTGTGAACTAAGAGACACCCACACCCACACCCATACCCTACTAGAAGCTATTTATACACATGTGTAACGTAAATTGTTTATTTCTAGTGAAAATGAAATCATCTATATTCGTCTTTGTGGTTTATCATGCTTATTGAAATTAATATGTAATCCATATTTTTATACACGTATAAAACCAGATGATTTTCTTGTTATAATAACTCTTCTTCGAGTAAGTAAAAAATTCTATTTATATTTAAGATAAATGTTTTTTTTGTAAAATGTTTTAGGATCCATCATCGGTTATTCGTCAACGAACATATCGTAAATTAGCTGAACATTTACGTGATCCATTATGTCCTATTGAATTACTTGCATTATTAGCATTTGCTGCTAAAGAACCTGAACGTGAGCATCGGGAACAAATTCGTCGTTCAATGTTACAAATTATTGATACACGTCGTGAACATATTAAACTTCAATTATCTTATAAAACAGCTCATACAACCAATGGTTTTGATCATGATGATAATAACAATAATAATAATTCATCATCAATAGATGATAAGCCAATTGACTATACATTATATCCTGAATATTCCTTAACATATTTTCTATTTTTTCTATCAAAATCACCAGCATATATTTTATATGATGATACTGAAATGTTACATACAATGACAGATTATATTTTATTTTTATTAGATACATTATTATTACGTTGTGATACAACAGTTGGTTTATTTTATAAAGGTTTATTACGTTCAATAAAATCATCGGAAGATGCAACAATCGTATTAGATAAAGAAGAAAAAATTGAAAGAAAAGATGCTATTAAAAAATTACATGTTCTTGTTGATTTAGCTTATGTTATTTTATCACAACGTGCATCATCATTAATGATGTGTCGTGCAAGTTCAACTGTACCATTACCAGAAATGTATTTTAAAAAAGCACGTTATAATCATTTATCTTATTTACCAAAAGATTTTAAAATTAAACTTAAACCTATAACAACAACGACAGTTAGTGATACATTAACAAATAAACGAGCAATAATCAATAATTCAGAAGTAGATAATACAACAACAACGACAATATCAAATACAACAATAAGTACATCACCAAAAACAACAACAAGAAAAAAACGAAAAAGTAGTGGAGAAAATGAAAATGATGATGATAATAAAGAACAAACTTCTCCAAATAAACGAAGAAAACGTTCAACAACGAATAAACAACGAAAAAGAAAATTAAGTAATTCAATTGCAGAGAATGAAGATACTACTTTAAGTAAGATCATTTGACTTGATTTCAGCATTTATACTTTATTTTTTTTGTATTCTAGCTTCAGTACCATCAGTTAATGGTAAAAAATCTCGAAAGAACATCGTAAATACTTCTAATCGATCTCGTGTAAGTTTTCCATATGAAAAACCACAATTACGTTCGAAATCAGCATCATCCAGTTCATCATCTCTATCACCTCCAGCACGAAAAACACGAAGTAAAGCTTCATCACGATTAGCAACAAAAAATTAAATCAAAAAAAAACTTTCGAATTTTTTTTTTCTTCTTTCACTTGTATATTTTCAATGATTCAATATTTATGTACATATTCAAATTTCTTAGTTAGAAAGAGCTTCAATGTTTATTTTGCTGTATTTTATTAAATACAAGCAAAGGTAAAAAAAAAATTATGTATAAAATTCATATGTTTATGTATCTGTATTTTTTTTTCTTTATTCTTTGTATAATACATATGTTTGATATTATAAACATAGACTATGATTTATGAAAAACGATATCTTATTAACAATCAAATGGGTATATATATATATATATCTAGGAATTTTGTAATTCGATTGATTTAAAAATAAAATAAGACAAACTATTCATAAATTATATATATATATAGATTGGCAATATCGATAATTCATTAGGACAGGTACTATATGTATGCATATCGGACAAAGAAGAATTTTCTTTTTTTTTCCTTATGAGTATATATCATGGATAATCTGATGCTTTCTATGTTGATAAATGATTTAAACTTGAATTTTTTCTTCTTTTGATATATATCCTGTCATATCGGTAAGGCTATTAAAAGAAATTTGAGCTAAGTACAATTAAACTTGATTAAGAAGAAAAGAAGATTTATGTTTTTTTTCTTTCTTTCCATATAGGTCATGACAAATATTAAATGTAAACATTAAGAACAAGTAGTCGAGATAACCTATTGACCAGTGAAGACAAAAAACTGTAGATCAATGCATTATATTGACCTTGTTGAAGATTACTGTCTGAAGATTTAAGTAGATGACATATAAAAGTGTCTGAGATCTAATTCAAAATATATCGAATTAAACAATATTTTAAATTGCATTGTAGATAACTGTAATTGAGAGAGAAAAATAGAAGAAGGTGAATACATATGTATTACACTTTTATTCTTATTAATAATATATTTTATGAGTTTATGAGAATGTATTCATCCATTGAAATAGTTTTGATAGTTTAATAAACAAGTCGATTGATGATAATGAAAAATGACGATTAATTATATTCTTTCAATAGACTTGTGTGATGCAATTTGAGACGATAGAATATTATATATATATATAGTTTTTTATATACTTTTGCATTCTGCTTCGTCTTTTTTTTTTTATTCAAACAGAGTTTGTTTCAATGTGTATAGAAAAATGAAAGAGAAAGAAGAACAGAGAACTGTTTTAACTATTGCTTTGTCTGTGTCAATTTGTGTAATCGAATATTGAACCGAAATTCTCTCTTCTCCTTTTCTTTTTCTCTTTTTGCCGTTCGTTACAATCGATAGTTGCATTACCGTCAATGCCATTCTTTTCTAATCGATCTGTTTTACTTCTTTGAATATAAAAATTTACTCTTTTACTAACGACAACGTAACATCAAGACAAAATAGTCGAAGACGAATGTTCTTTTTTTTTCGCTTTTTCAAATATTAAACAAGGTCGATGATCATTTATAATCGTCATTTCGTCTTCTTACATTTTATATCGTAGGTTGTAAAAATTCATAATGTCTAATACAAATCGATTTAAGAATTCGAATAAAACTGAAGAAGAAGAAGATGATGATGATGAAAATGATAATGATGAAAATCATTGGTATTATCCACGTACATCATCACCTCATTCGTCTCTCAGTGTTAATAATAGTTTTACTCATCCGTCGTCATCGGTAACGATGGGTTCATGGGGCTTTGACGTTAATCGCTCAACAAACGGACAGACACCATTATCATTTACATCGAACAATAATAATAACAACAGCAATAGCGACAAACAAATAATGACGAAAATAACAAAAGATTATAATGAACGTCTTGGTGATAAATTTGCATCATCTTCGTCTTCTTCTCAAAATCTTAAATTACGTACACCAGCATTAACTAAACAACGTAATGGAAACGAATTTGCTGCTGTTGATCGTCTTCTTCATGGACCAAATCGAACATCTAAAGATGTAATTGAACAACAAATGACAACAACAACAACTCAACAACCAAAAATTCATGCAGAACAAGAATTAATAGCTTGGCAAAATCGAATGTTACAAAGGTTTATTTAATACTCAAAAAAAATAATTTCATCTATTCAATATTTAGAGATCAACGTTTCGATAGTTCATCATCAAAATTAAACAATAAAAGAAATGAAGTAAATATTAATTCTGTTCGTTCATCCAGTCGTCAAACATGTAAATACAGACAAAAAGAATTTATTAAATAAAAGAAAACTCGTTTTTTTTCAGCTACAGCAACAAATCGACGAATACCAACTATATTAAATACAAATGAAAATCAATATCTAGAACATGATCATGTAAAAATCAATTTTTTCTGTTTATTTAATTATTAATTTTTATTAGCATGAACCCACAATAAAGTCAGCACGAGTTATTAAACGATATATTGAATTAGTTTATCATCTACAATCATTTTATGAACGTATTAGTGATCAATTATCAAATGGAAATGGGTTTTTAAAAACTAAGTATATATATGTATATGTATATAGAGAGAGAGATTATTTACATTTGATTTATTAGTCAATCATCACCATCATTATTTATAAATCATTGTCGAAAAATGACTGAACAATTACAAAAATTGAAACCGATTTGGGAGGAAAAATTAGTCGATTTACAAAATCAACTTAAAAATATATCTTCATTACAAGGCTCAACAATGACAAACGAAGTTTGTATAAATTTAAGACAACAAAATAATTTACTTTTTGTTATATAGACAACATTTCTACAACGTCGATTGACTTTAATTAATTTATTACAATTGCTAAGTAAAGAAAAGGAACTTGATGATACGGACTTATCTATTCGCGTAAGAAATTTTGACAAAAAAAAAAGAATTTTTTATTTTTCTATTGAATAGATTGATATTGATCGAGTATTACATGAAGATAAATTAGGTAAATTAGACTTATCATTAAGAAGATTAGTATATTTATAATCGTCTTAATATATAGCTGTTCAACTTCAAGATGAACTTTCAACATTACTACAACATCAGGTTAATATTTTATCAGTATTTCAAGTGTTTTGTGAGAGAAATATTCAATATAATCAGTCTGATCTATTGATGATTAGAATATTTCACTTCAGATACTCAAAATAAGCTTGACTATCGCATATCTATCTTTTCTAGTCTTTATTAAACGATTTTACCTCATTATTTCATTGGAATTGTCAGCTATATTCGTCGAATGAACAAGATCGTGTTGAACATGTTCTACTATTATTACGTGAACAAATAACTACAACTGATAGTTATATGTCACATGTTAGTCAGGTAAGTTATCATCTTAGAAAAGATTTTTAAACATATATATCTGTTAAATTCTTATATAGCAATTAAATGAATTAGTAACAAGTTTACGTTCATCAGAAAAATATATTTTATCATATACGAATACAGTTCCATTAATTGATGATGGTAAAAGAAATAAAAAAATTTCTTTTGAAATATTCGAATTGATTATAAATAGGAACTTCTTCTCAACCTAATACGTCATCCAATCGTGATCATTGGCGACCATATGATAAAACTGATATAGATTTCATGAAAACAAGGGTATAGAAAATGATTATTTTTTTATATTATTAATATAATGTGATATAATTTAGGAATCTCGATTGCAACAATCTCGTCGAAGTAAATTATTTATTTAAATTGAAAAATCTTATCTTTTCTTTCTATTCAGATGAAAATATCAATGAAAAATCGTCAAGTAAATATATTCTAAAAAGTTTCTTAATTCTTTTTTCTCTTCTAGAATTAAGATCGACTTCAATGCCTCGTCTGAGTAATTCTGAAGAATCCGATCATAATTTAGTACATAATTTCTTATTGATTTTGTCAAAAAAATAAGGAGATTTACTTTTAGGATCGTGATACTATACGAAAATCATTAATAAAAGCTTATACAACAGATTTAAATCGAAATAATAGTAATAATAGTGGTGTACTAACACGTTTTGCCACAGTTAAATCAGCTAAACGTAATGATAAAACCCCATCAAATGTAAAGGTCTATTGTAATAATAAAATATTTCAATTCATATAGCTTTAATTTTTGTTATTTTAGAGTATTTTGAAATCATATCCTCATATACATTCATCAAATGGAAGAAAAAAAGATTATGATATTGATATAGAAGTCGATATACCTGATCGATTTATTGATTTTGATAGTAATGATCAAATATTAACAACTAATGAACGTATAGAAAGAATTAAGAAAAAAGATGATGTACGAAGAGTACTTTCAAAACAAAGGTATAAAATTATTGTTTGATAATTGAATTTTTACCTCTTATTTTTTTGTCAGTATACACGAAGCAAATAATCAAACTTTTAGCGATGATGATATAAAAGTAGGATCTAATCGTCAAAAATATAGCAAAAAACGTGAAAGAGTATGTAGGAAGAAAGAAAACTATTTTATGATTGAGTTATATTTATAGGCACTAAATCTACGATCAATGTTTACTGAAGAAGCAAAAGAAAAGAACCATCAAATCACAGGTTTGTTTCATTTTCTATTTATTCACATGAAATTAACTGATGCATTTGTAGGAAAACATTATATGAATAAATCATATCAACAGCGAATGGCTTATCCAAATGCATGAATTTAGATTTTATTCACACATCTTATTCTCATACTTTTTTTAAATTTCAATAACGCAATTTTTCAATGACATATACTTTTGCTTGTATCACTATTTTTTATATTTGCGCATGTCATTTTTTTATTTGTACGATTCTATTTCTCGAATTATTAGTTAAGATTTGATACTTTTGCGCAGATTGAGATTGTACATCGTCATTTATATTCTATATTCTCAATAAAATTCATTTTGCATGTAAGTGTTAGAATGGAAATTGATTTATAATGGTGACATCTATTTATGTACAGATTCTTCCAATAGTTCATCCAATAAGTTGTATTAACTAGAAGTGCTTTTATCTCTATCATTTATTATCTGTATGTATGCTTGAGGTTTAGTTAATCAGATTATTTTTATGACTAAAGAAAAATTTTCATATTTGTTTTTGAATAAATAATTGGAAATTACATGCATATTAATCAGTTGAGTAGTATACTATCGAATTACACATTCCAAATATGAAAAATAACAATATTTTTTGCAGATTAATTTCTAATGGCAGAAGGCATCATGTGTTATTTTTCAACTGTTATACTATTTTTCATCGTTATTTCATTTATTAATACTGAAAAAATTTGTCCTGGTTATGGATTTGTACGATTTCCAGAAAATTGTACATCAACATGTTCAACAAATAATGATCAATGCTCGAAAGGTACAAAATGTTGTCAACGTCTTACAGAACCATGTGGTTTTCATTGTATAAAACCTAAAGATGATGTCAAAAAATCTGGTGACTGTCCACAGTTACAAGCCAATAATCCATTCTGGTTTTTATGTGATGGACATTATTGTGATGTGGATAGCGATTGTAAAGGTATGGCAAAATGTTGTACAAATATTTGTCGTTCTAAAATATGTGTCATGCCACACTCATCCAAATGAATATTAATTCCAAATGTTACATTATCAATTACTTCTTCTTTTTTTTGTATAATCAATCATATATAAACTTATGAAATTCTTTTTTTATACAAAAATATTAATCTTTGTTCAATAAATATAAAAGAAATTAAAGTTGTCGTTCTTGACTGTAGATAGAAATCGATATATATGATCACTGTAATATGTTCCATACAAAAAAAAGAAGTTGAATCTTATGTTCTTATGCATTGACCAATAATCGGTTGTTTTTCCATTATTTGATTGATTCTTGAAAAATATTAGTTACATTTCTATTAATACAGTATGAAAAATTTTCCACTTTCATTAGAAAGAAAGTTGACTTTTCTTTTCGTTGATTGTAAATAGAAAAAAAACAATGAGGTTTTTTCCAAGCATAAACATAACACGTGCCAACGTGACGATGAAAAGAAAGCAGAACACGTCGTCGTTCGTATAGATTACGACATATTAAAGTAAAAAAATGTGATTGTACATTACATTTGATAGAGAACTACATACAAGCAAACAGCATGTCTCTATTAAGTTTACCATTCGAAATGTTACATCGTATTTTTGACTATTGCGATATGAAAACAATTCTTCTATCAATTCGTTCTGTCTGCAAATATCTTCATAGTGCTACTAATATTTATAATCGATTGGAATTGAAATATGATCCGTCTTCAACTTTGAAATATGATATACTTTCTCGTCTTATTATTCAATCTGAACGTATTGTTTCATTGATTATCATCAATAAAACGAGTGATAAAGATGATGCACTTTCTTCATTCGACAAAATTTTCAACATTAGACAATTCACTCGACTTCGTTTCTTGACTCTTGATGGTATCGATTGTGAAATAGCAAAGAATTTTTTAGTAAAAATTTCTTCTGAGTCGTTGACTACGCTTTGGTTTCGTGTGAACGATGCAGAAACATCTATTCATATCTTATCAACTGCTACTCGATTCAATCTTCGAAAGCTCGTCCTGAATAAATCAAATTTAATAATGATACGCGATATTTCATGGCCAATACAATGGGAACTAAGGCATTTAGAAATAGGTATTTGTACTTCAAGTCAATATCATACTATTATCAAACAAAATCCTCATTTACAAACATTTGTTATGCAAGATTGCGTTGAATATCTTGAAGATTCTCGTATGATGATAAGTAGATCATTTGATCAACCATGTGCTTCAATATTGAAGTCTTTGACTATCATGGGCTGTTCTCTCAGTTTAGAAGAACTAGAATTGTTACTTTCATGGACACCGATACTTATCGATTTGGAACTCATTTTCCATTGCGATTTATTTGATTCTGTATTGGATGGCTATTGCTTAGAACAAATTATCAAAAGCAAGTTACCGTTACTGCGTCAATTTACTTTTTTCTTTTCATACAAATATTTTTCTCGATCTGACAACGCTCCAAATAGCATTAAATCTATTATAGCACCGTTTCGAACACCATTTTGGCTGGAAGAAAAAAGTTGGTTTGTTATCTGCGATCACGTATTTGAAATGCAGGTAATCGAACTCTATACAATCCCAGCGAAAATTAGACATGAATCTACACTTTGGTTTGGCAGATCATTTGAATATATGCCATTCCATGCAAGGCGACAATACTTATACCATCTAACACCAAACTCTGTATTCTCAGAACATGGAATGAATAATGTGAATAATCTACTCCGATGTGAAATATCGTCAGCAGATTATATCTGTCGATTTACTCGTACATCATCCAATAAAACAAATGAAGAAGCTGAGGAAGAGGTATGCGATAGCGATCTGATCGTTCTTTTTAACATTACTATTATTTCTGTTTATAGGCATTGGTCATACTAGATCTTAGCAAACGCAGAATAGATGACAATATGGTACAAGATCTCGCTGATGCTTTGGAGCAAGACAATGTAAGTCAGTCTATTGTTTTATTTAAATACTTTTCAAATGTTCATTATTTTTCTACTACATATAGACCTGTGCTACATTAAATCTGTCGAATAATAGTATTCAAGATATCGGAGCTCATTATCTCGCTAATATGTTAAAACATAATACGGTAACTCTCATTGCAATCTTTCCTTTTCTTTCTCTCAAAAAATTTATTTGTAACTATAGACACTCAACGCAATAGATCTTAGTGGCAATGGAATCGGTGATTTAGGAGCTCAATTTCTTGTTGAATGTTTAAAACATAATACCGTAATATGATCATCATTTTATTTTTGAGAATATAACTATCTTTTCTTGTGTAGACACTCATGGCACTTAATCTAAACGGTAATTCAGGTCAGTCTTGCTTAGTTGTTGAAGCAATACTCAAAAGTCGCACTGATAGAGTAAGATATTAATCTTCTCATTATTTATTTCAAAGTCTTATGTATAGACACTGACAACACTAGATATTTCGAACAATCGAATTGGAAATATAGGAGTACAGATTCTTGCTAACTACTTAAAATCCAACACAGTAAGTTTTTTTTCTTTTGTATATTCATATATCTTCTTGAAACATATAGACAATTACCATATTAAATATCTCGAATAATAATATCGACGATACCGGAGTACAATGTGTAGCAAATTTATTAAAAGACGACAAGGTAATCTTTCGATTGTTATCTGTTTTTTCTTTCTTTCTTACAGGCGATCGTTTCATAAATAGATACTTAATTCAATCGATCTAAGCAACAATCTCATTGGGGATCAAGGAGCTCGATATCTCCTTGAAAATTTAGAACAAAATATAGTAAATTAATCTTGTTTTCTTTTGGACTTTTTTTATTTTCTTTACATAGACATTACTGACACTGAAATTAGGTAAAAATAAAACGCCATATTGTATATTTGTGGAGAACATTGTAAATATTCGTGGTGATAGAGTAAGATTTCTATTACTCTAATATAATAATTTCACTGATGATTTCTTTTCGCATGCAGACACTTACCACGGTGAATATGTCTAATCATCGATTAGAAGATGACGATGTACGACTTATCATAACTGCTTTGAAAGACAATAAGGTATTTCTATTTTTCTGTTATGATTTTACATTTTTTTCTGCTATAAACAGGCACTTGTTTCATTGAATATGTCAAAAAACCAATTTGGATACCTTGGATTACAACATCTCACTGATTTGCTACGTCATATCACAGTAAGATTGTCTTGCTATCTAATTTTCTTACTTTGATTCACGTATAGATATTCACCACTTTGGATTTAAGTGCCAATCAAATAGATGACAAAGGAACAGAGGCTCTCGTCAGTATTTTACGAAATCTAATGGTAATTAAAATTAAAATTTTGATTCTTCATATTATGAATTTCATCTAAATAAAAAGACACTGACAACACTTAACATCTCGAACAATCAAATTAGCAATCATGGAATAAAAGCTATAACCGACGCACTAAAATATAGCAAAGTATAGCGATGTTTTTGTCATCAATATTATAATTACATTCTGTTCATCATGTAGACACTTACCAAATTGGATCTTAGTAGTAATCAAATCGACGCTACTGGAGCACATTATCTCGCAGAAGCTTTGGAACACAATCAGACGACAGTAACAAGTTTAAATATATCGAACAATTCTATTGGACCAGAAGGTGCAAAATGTTTTGCTAATACATTACGAAATACTAAAGTAACTTTCTTGACTTTGATTGTCTCTAACTCTATTATTTCTATCTACATTCAGACACTAAATGAGCTGATTATGTCGAACAATCGAATCGGTAATACCGGAGCGGAACATCTTAGTGATGCTTTAAAAGAAAATACAGTAATCTTCTATTCCAACATCTATTTAATGTCTCAATTTGTTTTCTATACATAGACATTAACAATAATTGATCTTAGTAGTAATCAAATTGTAGGCCACGGTATATTAAATCTAGCAAATGCTTTGAAAAAGAATACAGTAATCATCTACCTCTGTTCTCTCGCTTTGTATTATTCAATGTATATATGTAGACACTTACGACACTACATTATCGAAATAATCGAATGCAATCCATTGGCACAAAATATCTCGCTGATGCTTTGAAATGTAATAACGTGAGTGTTTTTTCAAATTGTCAGGTGTATTCAATGCTTCTTTTTTTCTTCTATGCGTAGTCACTAACATTACTAAGCCTTCAATGTAATGAAATTGGTGATAATGGAGCATTACATCTTGTAGATGCTTTAAAAAATAATAAGGTAATTATCCTTTTCTTTTTCGTCAATCTGATCTAAGAGCACTGTTTTATTTAGGCATTACAAAAGATTTATTTGGGCAGAAATGGTATTTCCACAAAAGTATGGGATGAATTAACATCGATTGGTGGAAAAGAAGTGTTGAATTAGTTATTCTCTTCAAAAAATAGTCATGAATCTTAAGATAACATTCTGTTTTTTTTTATACCCTTATCTATATTCAGCCTTAATTCTGAGAACTGATTTTGTAATTATTCTTTTATATTCAAGAAAAAATAAACAAACTTTCGAATCAATGATTTGTTATTGAAACTTTTAGAGTCTTAGGAGTGCTAGTGGGTGGGTGTGGGTGTGGGTATCAACACGAGATACCCACACCCACGCACTCAAGAAATAATTATAAAACTGAGAATGTTCCTTGAAAATTATCACGATAAATATTTTTGATTTATTTTTATCGAATTGATCGTTAATAATTATAAGAGAGTAAGTGTATGTTAATGTTATTCTTAACTAATCAGTTGGTACATAAGCAATTGTATTATTTTCGTTTGCTAATCGATATATATATCTTTAGATAATCACTCACAGATGACAAATTTTAATCAACATCTGCACTATTTGTTCATTTCAAAAGATCCTTGAAAATGAAAATAAAATAAGAAAAATATAATTTGCATAATTATAATAGTACTTATGAAGGCAAATATGTTAAGAGAAGAATCAAGTTCTTAATTTGCTGTAGACAAAAAAATACAAATTTTTTTCAAATGTCTTGATTGTGTGAGATATGGTGAGAAGTATCAGTGCCATATATTCTTTATATATATATATGTTGTAGGCAAAATTAGAATTCAGTCAAATTCGGAATTTGCCCAGGCAGAATTAGAATTCCAGTTCTGCCTGGGCGAAATTAGAATATTATTGATTTCGACTATAAAACTTGGGTAAAAATCAGTAAGAGAAATAGGTAAAAGGCTAAGACTGATAGTGAGGGTGAGGGCGAAGGTGTTGATGAGGATGATGAACTTTGAATGCGAGAGTAAGGAGGAGGGTAAAAGTGACAGTGAATAATCGCGGAAAACCTTGAGGGTGTGGGTGAATATATACTAATCTCTCAACCACCCCCAACCCACTCACACCCACATCCACACCCTCAATTTTTTCAATACTTCTTATAAAGAATAACAAGTTTTTTTCTAGATTTTATCTTGTTTCTTCAAAAGCTTCTCATAAAAAATTCTACATCTTTCATTTCTAACATTGAGATTTTTCTTTATTGAACTTTAAAGCAAATATAAAACAAAATTTTGTCTCTGTCAGATGTCACATTTCATTAGTTATAGATTGTACACAAAAACTGTCAACTTGAATATATATGCATGAACTTCCATCTAAACATAACAACATTTAATTTTATTTCAAGAAAAGATTACTACAAACACAAAATGAAAAGTAATGAATAATTTGAGTCATCGAGTTTTTGTTCAATTTTTTGTTCTTTTGTCTAACAATTCTACTCCATTAATAGATTGTTGAACTGCAACTACTTGGTTTGATCTTAGCCAAAACAATATCCGACCTTTGACTGCTTGACGAAAACGACTTGATGAAATCAAAAACATATAACAGCTTCCCTAAAAAAATAATTTCACAAAATATACTTGTTTAATTATCTCACAACAGAAATAAATATACATACGGAAAAATAAAGAAAAGATATTAAACTTTCCATTGTTATAGTAAAATCTTCAATGCTTAATCGATCTGTGCCTTTACTAACTCCAGATGTAATTAAACCATAAGCATTAATGATACCACTTGGTCCAATACAAACAGCAACAAGTACTACTTGAATCAATGTCATTTTTACTAGTTGACGATCAGCTTGTTGTTCAGAGAGAACTCTTGTCAATTGAATATTACGATATGCCAGATATCCAAATAAAGCCATTATTATAACTGGAAGAGTACACACAAAAATGAGATAAAATGGTGGAATATAGGCGGCAAAGATACTATTGGTGATGGTACATGCCATCGTTCCTGATGGAATACTGTAAAATAAAAGAAGAAGAATATTATGAAGACACCAGATAATGATGACAATAATGGTAATTCGATGTGCCCATTTTATATTGCTCAATCGACGAAGATATGCACTTTGTGATGTAACAAAATATTGATCGATTGTTGCTAAACATGAAAAAGTTAATGTACTTGAACCAAAAGTATAAACAATAAACCATCGTATTTTACACCAACTTATTGATATTCGAGTTAAATCATATCCAAAACCATTCATGACAATACGAGAAGAAAGACATATTGCTATATAAAGAAAATTGAATATTGCAGCAACAAGAAAATAAAATGTACAAGGATTTGTGCGATAACTCCGAATACTTGAAAATACGATAATATTAATTCCATCGCCAACTATGCCAATAATAAGGATAAATGGACCAAGATAACGTATAAGTTGTTGACTAATGTATAATAATGACATGATGATTATTGTTGATTCAGACGGTGTTTTGATAATCTATAAAAAATATTGTGTGATTATTAGTAAATAAATACGATAAACAAAAGATCAACTAAAATATCAATCATTGTGAGATAGAAACAAATTTTGATATGCGCTTATAACACGAAAGTTGAGCGAGTATTTTTTTAGAGAAAAAACGCTCTGTCATATTCTCATTATGGTTGTCTTGCTTCTCATTTTTATCCTTTTTTTTACTGTTTCTTAATGAAGTTAAGGCTTAATTTGTGTTACTCAAATAGAAACACCAATAGAAAACAAGCTACGAATACTGTTTGATATTTAATTGTTTCCAGGAGAAAAGACTCTTTTATCAATATAAAAAGCCATTTGCTCAGAATCAGATTTTTAATTAAAATAATGAGATAACACATGAAAAGAGACGAATGGCTGCTTAATTTGAGTTCTAATATAAGTAAAATTTTTGAAAATTGTAGAGTCACTCAGTTAATACCAACAGAAAAAAATTATATAAACAACATTAAACAATCGTGTCAGTTGAGTAGAGCAGCAGGAAAGCAGAAAAAAAATTATTTAAAAAATTATAAATTTATTTAAATGGACTCAGACAACCGTATTAACTTAGCAGAAAAGAAGAAAAACAAATGTATTTATAAATTTAAAACTTTATATTAATTGAACTACAGACTTGTAGCTTTGGTAAGCAGAAACAGAATCTATTCCAAACATAGTTTATTAAGAAAGTGTTTATGTTTATGAAATTTTTGACCAGATGTTTACTGTTGTCAAGGAGATCTCAAAATATAACGCTTTTCTCTAATATGCACTAAAATCGCTATTATCGCAACGAACTTTTCAAGAGATGGGAAATACGTTGTGAGCAACTTAGGTTTATATCTACATTTGGTTATTTATAAATAATACTGTCAAACATGACAGTTCAATTCAACGATTGAACTACGCGTTCAATTCTTCAAGTTTCCAATCAGTCAGATGTTTAGATATAAAACTATTATGACCTTCACATGAATCATTCTGCCTTTACCTTAACAGAAGTTCGGACTACTCCTTGCCAATTGTTACGGTTTCACTACCGCTCTTCTCTACTTTTATGCAAAACTAACATGACTGCCTAGTTTTCGTTTATATAAATTTATAAATATAAGAAATTCTTTTTATTTAATTTCGATATCATATTAAGATCCCTCCTTCCCCACTCGAAAAAGGTCGGAATCAATTAAATGCATCGGGAGATAGCCCGAAGTTTGCTCTTTCAGAAACACTATGCTTTTCTTTTGGTGCGCCTCTCTTTTTGATAATTTAGATCATGTTTTGCTTGAAAAATAGACTTTTTTCATAGAAGAGTGTGGGTGTGGGTATCCATGGTGTAGAATTATTATACCCACAGCGACACCGACATAATTACCATGACATCTACATCCGCATCCACCCTCAGAAAGGAATGATTTGTTCATCTCTGTTTGTTCCTAGTTAATCATAACTATATTTATGGCGATGAAAGATTTTAACAAAATTACTTAGCATATAATGAAAAATAAATAATCGTATCTGAAAAAACTTCAGTGTATGGTGTAAAGTATTGTTAATAATTCAGACAGATTTGTCTGATAACAGATCAAGTTATATTAAAATTCGTCAGCCATGAAACTAATGATTTTTTTTCTTGATTGGTACATTTGACTCTGTTTTATGAGAACAAATTCTGTGCTATCTTATAAAATATCTATATTTGATTTTGTCATCAGACCACAATACAGAGCTTGAATAAAAATTAAAAAAAATTAATTTAAACTTTGCTGATTATTACCGAGAACATGCTATTCATATCAATGATTTACCATTTTATATCGATAAAGTTACCGTAACAAAAACTTTTTGTATAGTTGCTATAGGAATTCTATCGTTCTGTAGTTGATATCATTCTTCTTCGTTTTTTTCTTCCAACAAGTACTTACACCATCATATGACACCTATTACAAAACAAACATTTACTCATTTAATCGGAAGAAGAAAAAAACAATACGTCATATAACTGATATATAAGGCTGCGTAACAATCATTTCATCAGTAATCTACAATGACAAATCAAACTGTTGCCAACTTTCTAACACTACCGGTAGAACTTGTCTACCGAATTATGGATCACCAATCGGAATTCACGATTATATGCTCAATGGGAAACGTATGTCGACGATTTAACACGATCGTGGATAGTTATCAAACATATCGGGTAAGCTTTTCTCTCTCATGACAGTCTAGTTTTTATTTATTGACTCATAGATTATTTTTCAGTCCTATAATCTCTATTTAAGTAGAATAACTTCAATAAAAAATAGATAAATCAACTATTTGTCAGTCAAACAAATTTATCACGTATCAATTTCTTCCCAAAGATTCATTTTTTTTTGTATTATAACAATATGAAAATAATATTCTAATAATCAGAAAAACATAATTTCTTTTTTTTCAATCTCACCTAAGTATTCCACGTTTCAAACTAGATATGATATCATAAACATAATGTTTGAATAAGAACGAGAAAAAGGGACAAAACATTGTTATTCACTTTTTACGTGCATCTAAATACCTTTTCTTTTTTTTTTTTATAAAGTACCATATTGATGATAAAAATTAGATTTCGAAAGAAATTAACGGTGTATTAACTAGTTTA